TGGTCTTGCTGTTCACTTTGTCCAGTAGCTTGGGCAAGGACCCTTACTGCCTTCTCCACCAATGTATGTGGTACATTTAGACACACTGGTAGTGCTCCTTGTCTAGCCAATCTATCCTTGGCCATATGTGGTAGTTTGTACTTGTTTCCTCCTTCATCATTCATAACTTGCTGCATCACATCTTGGTAGCTTAACCATACCTTGTTCAATGTCTCTGCTGTAAGAGCTGCATATGCACCCCTAACTGCTTCCACAAGTTCTGCCACATTTTTTGGAGCACACTTCTCTTTCAGAGATTGGATGGCTCTAAAAAACCCCAAGTCAAGTATGTTTAGGTCTGGGGAGTTAGGGGGTTGGTTACTTAATGTAATGTTGAGACCATTTGCATTTCCTGCTGTCATGAAGTCTTGGTTTGTCCCAGAAATGTGGGGTCTGGCATTGTCTTGCTGAAGCACAATGCTTCTGTCTAAGAAAGATGGCCATTTCTCATGGATGGCAGGTATAACTTGGTTCACTAACATATCTTTTGTCACCTCTTTGGTAACACTGAGTAATTGTTTCATTTCCAAAACCCCAGCCTCTCTATTCTTGCTCTTTCTTTTAGCTGCCACAGTCTCAACAAAAGGAAATATTCCAATTTTCCCATCCGACAGTACTTCTCCATTGTCTGAAAATAATGGTCTACCAACAACACATAAGAACATGACCTTGGTGATGAATCTCTTTGACTTACAAGTTCTGTAAGGATCCATTTCAGAGTTGGCCAAATAATATTTCTGTGATGTTTTGGACATAAAAAACAATTTTTCATCCATGTGGAGAACATTATGAAAACTTCTGAACTTGGGATTACAAGGGATGCTTGTGGGTTCTAACTAATTCAAACAAAACTGCAATCTTTGCAGCTTGTTTCCATCTGTTAGAAGAGGTTTAATTGCATTTGAATGACTTCTTAGCAAACCTCTCTTAATGCAAAGATGGACAGTAGATTTAGACATACTGAGTGCAGCAGCTAGTGATCTGATGGTTGTCCTTTGGGCTAGAGGAATTTTTGGGATAGATTCAACATCTATGACCACTCTTTTCCTACCAGTATTACCATACACCTTACTTTTGACATCAATGGCAACTCCCTCCTTTAACTGTTTTCTAGCTCTGCTCCATATGTCTCCTATGCTTCTTCTGGAAACATTGAATTCATCAGCAACCTTGCTGATTATTCCTTTCTGAGCTGTGTACTCACCTGATTTTTTTTTTTTGCATATGGTAGAATTGCTTCTACAATTCTTTGGCTTTGACTGTTTGATAGCCTGGTCCTGCATGATCTTTGTTCTCTTCGCAGGTCCTCATCTCTGCCTGGTTGAAGGACAGCAGCAGCACCCGGGATGGTCGCTGCAGCACTCGGGATGGTCGTAGTACCTGTCAAGATGCTGGCAGCAGCAGCAAACGCAGGAGGAGGTTCAGGAACTGGGGCAGACATTAAGGATGAAAAAAATTGGCTAGGGATTCCCTTTCTAAAAGTGGGAAGTATGCTGCTATTTATAGAATAGGCTTTGGGGGAATTTTCTGTTTTTGTTTGGGAGGGAAATTTTTAGAACTTTCCCTCCTTATTGAATTTGGTTGAACATGAAATTTGTAAAAGTGGATGCCTTTGCTATTTGGGCTTAATGTACCGTGGATTGCTTCCTTTTGAGATGTTTTATTATGTTTTTTTCCTTTATCAAATCCCTCTTTTAACCTTTTTTTAGTTAGCCTTAAAAAAATTCCTAAAATTTTTAGTAAGGGGCAAAATGGGAAGTCAAAGGTAAAAATATGGAGTCCTTAAAAATGGGAAAAGTCAATGTGGGAAGGTGGAATTAGGACGGAGGGAGTAGAATTTATAATGTCAAATAATACTATAGCATAATGTCATAGGAAACCAAATCAATCAAAAATTCAAATTTGTAGTTGTAGTCCAAGAAAAGTTTTATATTCTAACACGCCTCCTTCTGTGCATGAAGCTAAGAGGTATTTATGTTCGAGTATCACATGTGAAAATTATTTTTTAACTGAATAACAGTAATAAGATTCGAACTCGTGATCTCTTAAGCAATAAGATTCTAATGCCATGTCAAGAAACTAAATCAAACAAAAGCTCTAGTTTGTAGTTTTAGGTCTAAGTGAAATTTTACAATACCGAAATAGTTCAAATTCGATTCTTGACAACGACAATAAAGAATCATCATGCATGTCATATAGTCTTTGATATCACTTATAATTAATCAATTTGTGATTTATGATAAAAGTATTGTCGATAATAAAAAAGAATTCAATTTAATTCATTTCTTAATTAGAGTCTAGACTAGTCAAAAATCTTAAAGTTGGATTTATGTTTTTTTCATAAAAGTTAAAAATCACGGGGAGGAGTGTACCCGGAGTAGACTACAGGATAAGCAATTATTGATACGAAATTGCGCTCCGCATTCCATAAAAGTACGGTCACATTTCCTCCTTTAGCGGAGGGAGGGAGCATAAATGCAATCCACGTTCGAAAAACAACTTTCCTCCTAATCCAGACAACTTTTTCTCTTTTAAAAAGAGAAAAAGGTACTCCACATTTTTAATAAAAATGTAACAGACTTTACAGGACACAGTTTTTTCTAAATGTAACAAACTTTTTGGGACGGAGGGAGTATATCATACTCTCTCCGTCCTATAATGTTCTTCCCGGTTCATTTCCGTCCTATAATGTTCTTCCCGGTTCATTTTACGAGGTTTGACAGATTTTATTTTCAATTCAATTTATTTGATTGTATGTGTAAAATCAATTCAATTTATTTGATTGTAGGTGTAAAATTAAAAAAATAAAATTTATATATTTAAAAAACTATATCAAAAGTTTTACAAAACAAATGATGACAAGACTATATTATTTTATCAAATACCTAATGAAAATAGGTAAAGAAAGTGATTAAATTTTGATCAGATAAAAAGTGAGTGGGAAGAATATTTTAGGACGAAGGGAGTATATTTTTCTCTGTCCCCAACTCCATGTCTCAATTCAATGCCCCCGCTCCCTCCTCCACTCAAATTTTGCCACATAATCCACTCCATCATAATTTAACACCTACATATGGGGTGAGTGAGTGTTAAATTATGGTGGAGTGGATTACGTGGCAAAATTTGAGTGCAGGAGGGAGGGAGACAGGGAGTTGGGGACAGGGGATCTCATCCCCATATTCATATTCCAAAATAGATTACAATCTCTCGTTTACCAGGTTAAATCTTACATTTTTTGAAAATATTTATTTATTTAAAAATTGGTATAAAAAATGTAATTAATAAATTTACATATTAAAAAAGAATATTGAATGTTTTACATAATAAGATGTGATAACAATATCTTATTCTAATAAATGAAAAATAAAATATAGAAATAAACAAAAGTTATCGAGAGATATATCTCAAATTATAATCTTCAACCGGAGTGTAATTTTATTTCTTACTCCCTCCGTCCCAAAATGTTTTCTACGGCCCTGTTTGGCATCAGCGTCAGATATTAGCGTTAGTGTTTTGAAAAAGCTATCTGATGGTAGCCTTTATCGTTAGCATTTTCAGAATTAATCTGCACCGTTAAAATTTTATCCAAAAAGCTAACGCTAATTGAAAACGCTGTTACCAAACACAGCCTACGTTTTACAAAACGGAGCAATATATCAAGTTTTTTGATTCACTTTATTTAAATATTAGTAAAAAAATAAAATTTACATATTTAAAAAGTACGTATTTTTTTTAAATAAAAAGTGTTAAGAATATTTTTTTAGCTCAAATAATTAGTGAAAATGTATAAAGAAATATTCCGTAAAAGCTTTTGTAATTGTTGAAAAAGGAAATGTTACATTTCTTTTGGGACGAAAGGAGTACATAAAAGTGTTGGCATTAGGTAATGTAACAATTTGGATTGAAACTACCACATTGTCACATTGAAACTACCACATTACTACCGCCATATCGTCATCAGTCGTCGCCGGCCACATGAGTGTCGGTGTGGATTACCGACGGTTGACGGATCATACTCACATATTATACTGTCATCACTTTTCTATCGTAGTGCTAACACGTATTTTATACTACATTGTCATTATAGTTTTATTTTGATATTAAAAGACTTAGGACTTATATATTGGTATTTTTCATATTTTTTTAACTCTTATCCATGTAGAATTCTTTATATATTTGCCTTTTAGAGTATTTTTTCTTATTATTTGTCGACATCCTCATCATTATAAATCTTACTCTGGTAGTTTGATATACAAATATTACAAGTCTTATTTTGATGTATAGAGTATGGTTTTTTCAACATATTAATTACTCGAGTTATCGAAACAATGAATTTCATCTAACATGATTAAATTCATGTTCTCATCAACTTATTTTTTTACTTATTGGAATTATATCAAATCAAATCATACCATATCAGATCATGTGAACGACGTGAGTAATTAAATTATCATCAGAGTGACAGATCGACAGTTTTCTTGTAGTGTCATGTGATTGATAGCTACAGAACTTACTCGTATTTCTCTTTCTTAAAGAGAGCGAACCCGGCCCGGATTCTTTCAGCAGCCGGTTCGGAAGAATCCTCATCGAGTGCACCTCCCAGCTCCGCCGTCAGCTGGTTGATCTTTGCGGCGGCGACGCCCACCAGTTCATGGTTATTCCTAAATAAAAGGAAAAAAAAGACAAGAGTAAGATTTGTGGTAAAAAAGGTCGATTGCGGTCAAATATGAATCCGACGTGTAAGATGTCGTGAAACCGTTTGAAATGGGGGCATTAAATGTGGCTGAGATTTCATGTGAACTTAATAGTGGGCACCATCATCATTGTCATCCACATAGACTTTTTTTTTTGTTTAGGAAAGTCTCATCCAATGAAGGATAATACATTAAGACTCTTACCAATTTCCTGTTTCTTTGTGTTTTTTCAAACCAATGCATGCATCTCTTCCATTATTAACAATTACTCTATCCATTTCTTTTTAGTTTATTATTCCCTGTTTTTTTATATACCCCTCCGTCCTATAATGTTCTTCCCGGTTCATTTTACGAGGTTTGACCGAGTTTATTTTCAATTCAATTTATTTGATTGTACGTGTAAAATTAAAAAAATAAAATTTATATATTTAAAAACTACATCAAAAGTACTATAAAACAAGTGGTGACAAGACTATATTATTTTATCAAATACCTAATGAAAATAGGTAAAGAAAGTGATTAAAGTTTGACCGGGTAAAAAGTGAGTGGGAAGAACATTTTAGGACAGAGGGAGTATTAAAAAATAAATGAACGTGGATACTTTTCATGATTTCGAGTACATCACTTTGACCATTAATATCTTTGTTTATATAAAAATATATTTTAAAAATAAACTATTTCAAAATTAGCATTTTTTTAATTAAATACATATATATGAAAATTCAATGTATTTTTTCGTAATATACAGTCAAAGTTCAAAAGGTTTGATTATAAAAGTCAAACTTGGAAGTTAATTAATTTTAGAAAGGAGAAAATATTACTTATTACTCTTTTCATTCCGCAATAGCGGTTTATTAAGGATTATTAGATACATTAGATTTTGAATGAATGTAGACATATTTAAGTCTACATTTATTCAAAATCTAACGTATCTAATAAAAATCTTAATAGACAGTTAGTATGTAATAGAAGGAATAATGTTGACTGCACTCATAACAAAGATAATTTTGTGTGGGAAAAGTTAGTCTTTCATTTCCTTTGTTCAAGATCTACAAATAAATAGGGAACTAAGAACTTGTTTTCTTCGTCTAAGCTGATTGAATTTGATTTGATTTTATTATGGTTTGATCTAATATGACCTGATCTGATTGTACTAATATGTGAAGCTATTTCAGATATTATCTGATTCAATATAATAGGTAAGTAATAAAAATAACCCGAAAAAATTAAGATCAAATACAATACAAAGACTCCAAGTACCCAACCAAATAGGATGTATACAAACAAGTAGAAACAATTTGTATCCTTAACAAATACCGAAATATATATAAACTTAGTGTACTCTAAAACTATATTCTGAAAATAAATATAGTAACATTATAATGATATAATCCATAATTAAATTATTATTCGAGTTATTTTTAATGCTAAAAGGTCAAAGTGTGAAACTTATTTTTTTTTTTTTAAAAAAAGAGCACTTTTTAAAGATTTACTCTGCATTCTATACGAATGGAGACTTGATTTTGAACTCCAGATGTAACACATGAAACTATTGGTTAAAAATGTTTCATGTTTTCCCAACACAAATTCCAAAACCTTTTTTATAAGCAAAATTCAAGTGAAACTGCTAAAAATGTTTGGAGGGGAGAGACTACACAAAATCATAAGCGAGGAACACAAAACGGAACGGGAGATGGAAGGAAATCAAGACAAAAACGCCGTCGTTTTTACCTGAGAAGCTTGCTCAGCCCTGCAATGGCTTCCTCGTACGACGACTCCCCTCCGCCCATTTCCGGCACCTGCGATTCAGAACGAAAGTAAGGACGACGCGATCAAACGTGAGACGAAACCGAATCGCCGAAACTTTTATTTATCGAAATCCAATTTTTCTGGATCGATCCTAAAAAAAAACACAACATAACTCGATCCGAACAGAATAAAACAGAGATTCAGCATCGATTCTTGCGACGATGCAGCTTCAATCGAGGATTACTCAAATCACAGAAGAAGAAGAGAATCTGATGAGAGCAGAGCAAAAATGTTTTGATCGGCGAAGAAACGGGACAACATTAGTGACGTCAGACAAGATAGCGGAAACGAGGAGGAGGACGAGGATATACGTACCTGGGCGTAGATTCTGGCGAGAATTTTATGATGTCTTTAGTGCAGGAAAAGGAGATGCGATGTAATACCAGATTGGGAATCACACCCAAATACTGCTTGTCCTTTTTCTTATATACAGAGAAGGGAAGGGGAAAGAGAAATAGGCTAACCATGGTTAACCATTTCGGTGGCTATGGTTTACTGTGTACGATTAGGGAGTCTCAATCTTGAACCCGGGCCGGATGGACCGGTCAAACCAAGGATTGAAAATCGAGTTCATGTAATTAGTGGGGACTAAAAAAATCTTTGGGGACTAAAAAAATCTTTGTGGTCAATAATTAACAAGTATAGAAATCATCCTAAATAGAACTAAAACATAGAGAAAAGTACCAAAATAAGACTTTCATGTTTTTTTCTCACTAGGCACTTGATGTAACAACCCACTAGGCACTTGGTGTTCAGCCTTGACTTGTTGACACGTCAGACATCGTGTTGTAAATTCAGAAATTTCCCGCTTCATTGTGGACCACCAATATGTCTTCTTCAGATCTTGGAACATTTTATTACTACCAGGATGCATGGTATAAGTGGTTTCGTGAGATTCACGCATTAAACGTTCCCTCACTTCGCCACTAGGAACTACCAAGCGATTCCGGTAGAATAAAATTTCATTATTTACTGTGAAATCTTGTCTCTCCCCCTTAGAGACAAGTTCACAAGTCTTCAAACAGTAGTCATCACGTTTTTGTGCAGCATGAATTTCGTTCTCAAGAGTAGGTTGAACTCAGAGTTTGGCTATCATCTTTCGGCTCAATGCGTCAGCAACTACGTTAGCCTTGCCAGGGTGATAGTCAATGTAGCAGTCGTAGTCTTTGATCAATTCCAACCATCTTCTCTGTCTCAGGTTCAATTCTTTTTGAGTTAGAAGGTATTTTAGACTTTTATGGTCTGTGGGAATATATGTCGTCTCTCCAAAGAGATAATGACGCCATATTTTCAAAGCAAATACAACTGCTGCTAACTCAAGATCGTGAGTAGGATAGTTACATTCGTGAGGTTTCAACTGTCTTGATGCGTATGCCACGACTTTTCCGTCTTGCATGAGTACACATCCCAAGCCATTATGAGATGCGTCACTAAAGATTGTGTAGTCTACACCTGGTA